AAACTCCCAAATTCATAATAATAGCAAATTAGTAATAGCCTTCACAGACTTTTCTAAGTGTTTTTACAATTCATATTTAATGCTCACAACAATTGTGTGTGTGCTGGAGGAGGGTGTAGTCTCAGGGGAGCACAGAGCTCAGAGTTCCAGGCTAGCTTTGTGCTTATTTGTTGTAACCCTGACTGTTTTCCTCTCCTCTCTGGCTCTCAGTGTCCTCTGCTGGGAAGTGGGAAAACTGGATAAAACTGTTTCCAAAATCTCTCCCACCTCTCACACGCTGCGATCCTATGCTGCAGCGCCCCAGTCAGGGCTTCTCAATCTTGGCACCATTGACATTTGGGCCCAGATAACTGTTTGTTTGGTCCAGGGCTTTGAAGGATGTTTAGCAGTATCCCTGTTGTCTACCCGCTAGGTGCTGGTAGCATCCCTTAATCCAGTTGTAAGAAAAATGCTTCCAGACATTGCCAAATAACCTCTTTAGTCACTATCTAAGGACTTCAATAAGGTCAAGATCATGAGCAGTTCAGCGGAAAAAAAGGTCTTCTTGTCCCCGCCTCTTAACCAACTCTTTCAAACCCTTCTGCATGTTTTTCCAGCATGATCTCTTACTGCTTTGCTACTTCTTGGTTCTTAAACACCCTAAGTGGTCTACAGCGTGTCTAAGTGATAATGAACCAATTGATTTCATATTTTCTCCTAAGAAGGGTTCACAGGTTTGTGTCCCCTGAGTGACCAGCCCGGCTCCCCAGAAATCCCTCGCGGAGTCCAAGCTGGCCCTGAAGCCTGTATCTGCAGCCTGCAGAAGGCTCAGTGAGCAGGGATTTGTCAGCACTCTTAAATCACTGGGCTCTGAGGAAGGCTTCTCCCAGCAGAAAGATCCTTCCCTAGGAATCAATAGCTAAGGGCCCTACATCACATTCAGAATTATCCTGGGACCTGTAAAACTTCTTTTCCCCAAGCATGGTAGAACCCCAAAGTGAAAATGCTGAGATGGGGGGAGAAGACAGCAAAAAAGCAGCCCTACCAAGAAGACCTCATCCATCGGCCCAGATGTTGCTATGAGAGGCTGATATGCAAGCCTGGACACCCAGCCTTGCTCGCCTGTGTGGTTCTTAGTGACCCAGCACTAATACCCCTTTCCAACTGAATACCTTTTTGCATCTTACCAAGGGCAAGATACACTATAGCCTGTCACCCCTGGTGTCCGCTACCTTACCTTCATCACACGGTTTCCAGCTTCACCACTTAGCTGAGGAAGAAACCAAGGCACACAGGGGTCAAGTGGTTTGTACGAGGTCTCTAAGCCACTATATGAGGAGAGCGATTCAGGCCAGTGTCCTTACCATTCTAATAAAGGTAGGTCAGGGCAGCCACATCGTGGGACACATAATAGGGACAATGTCTTGTTTTTTGTGTCTAATGCCACTTCTCAAACTCTATTCTCTTTCTTCTCCATTAAATTAAAAAACATGCAAAGGATTGCACTCTATTCATATTCCATGTCGTTGCTCTGGCCTTATCCAGCATCAGACCAAACCTTGAGAAGACAGGGCTATTTCTCCTGCTACAGCATAGAGCAGGTAAGGATCTTAAGCACAGTCTGGAACCCCGCTTAAAGAAGGGACTGCTGCTCTCTGGTGGGCCATGTGTTTTCATTTACATCCTCCCTTACAGATAAAGATCCATGTTGTCTGTGAGTCTGAGTGAAATGATCAACCCTGAGCATCTTCCCTGGTAGCAAACACCCATAGTAGAGCCTGAGGAACTGATGAGGATTCCACCTCTCAGAATTCTGAAGGTAGCTCATCAAGTCTGCCAAGGCTCTAGAGGAATCCCAGCAGGTAAAGACACTAGGTGAAGAGAGAAAAGGAGAAAGAGTGGCCCATTGGCCACATAGCAAAACTGGTTCCTAAGAATCGTTCACATATGTGAACAGTCAGACTCCCAGAACTGAAGAAAGGGCAACAGAAATGGTATTATCTTCCAGGTCACTCAAGAAGCTGGGACATGAGGATTTTGCAAAAATAGAACATCCTTGCACTCTGACCTTGAGGTAGGAGCAAGAAGGAAGGTGGAAATTGGCAAGTATATGTTGGAAATTCCAATTCATCCAGAATCTGAGTTTAAGTCCCACCAGCGGAAAGAGTGACCACAGGCCACAGAGACCCCATCTCAGCATACCTTGGCAGAAAAAGGCAGGCTTGGGTTCAAAGACCACAGCAAGAGCCTGGGGACTTGTGATTCCTAAATGCATAAATGTAAGCTTGGAGTTGTGTTGCTTTTGCTAAGAAGGCTGCTTTAAGCAAAAGAGTGCAGGAAGAGGAAAGAATAATTATGAATTTCAATGACCTGTATATATGCATTACAAGAACTTTATCTGTATCTGTATCTTTATCTGAATACAAATTTAAAGGAAATTTCTCCAAATTTACTAAAGTCATTAATATACGAAAATCTGGTCAGTCAGTAATTACCAGTGCCTACCACACAGACACCATGTACCCATCTCTTCATAAGAACAGAAAAAGCTCTGAATAGTCAACTAGGAACCTTAAGATCCATTTCTATCTCTTCCACCGAATAGCTATTTAATGTTGGGTAACACACTATCAGGCTTCAGTTTTGTCATCTGGAATTTAAGTGTACATATGAATGCTGGGGCAGGGTGAAGTTGGAGTAAATGCTTCCCAAGGCTCCTTTCTCTACTTCTGATGTTCGTGGGTTCTCTGAGACCTTAATGAGTTCAAAGAATATAGGATGAAACATAAAAGAAGCAGATGGGAGCAAGTGGGGCTATAGTCTGGCTTTCTGGAATGCAGTGCTTGCACCTGACCGACTGCACTTGAGGCCACAGGACCACCTGAAGTCCACAAAGCATATGATGGAAGGGCTCCCATCACAACGGTGAAAGTTGGGGATTGTGGCCTGGGCTTGCTTACACATTAAGCTACCATGGCCAGTGAAGGGCAAGAAGAGAGAAAGTCAGGGGTCCTGAGCTAGGTACTTTAGGCGCCCCCTTCTGGACATGAAAGAGCTTGCTCTTTTCAGCATCCACTAACTTGGCAAGCAACAAAGATGCTTTGAGAATCAACCCAGGCTGTTATAACTGTTTAACAGGCAATTATTCCTAGTCGGTAGTCCAATCTCTGTAACAGTCTATACATCACCCCTAGAATTACACAAGTCCACACATTCTCAGGGGCACCACTGTGCTGCCAGCCGTAAGATGTCTTAACCAAACATCAAGGCACCAAGGAATAAACACCAGAGTTCAGAAGAACACCAGGTGCAGCCCAGATGGAGAAAAGGGAAGAAAGAGCAACAAGCAGTATATCACTGCACAAATCCCAAGTGAAAAGAAGGCTTCAGAATCACAGCAGAAAAATGTTGACTGCAAACAGACAGAGAATGGAGCTGGGGTTTGGGTATAGATCAGGAGCTCCCAAAAAGGAGCTCCAGGCTGAGGCCAGTTATCCTAGCAGCCTGAACATACACTTACGTTCAGGAATGGAGTAAAGGGAAGGACACAGCCCCAGCTGAATAGCTCAAAAGCAGGTCACTATCACACACCTTTGGCCTTCTCCAGAGTCCGTTAGTACCAAGTAAAAATTGGGGGTTCTAGTTATGGCCCTCCATGCTAGCATCAAGCCCCTAAACTCTCATCATTGCTCTGAAATTGATTTTAGGACTTGTTGCCAGAAAGATGTGCTTACCCAGGCCAGTGAGACTGAATACACTCCTTTAAGGACCTCAGAGGAACAATGGTCACGGTGCTGTTTTGCCATCCTCCACCTCCCCTTCTGTAAGGCTGAGAATGCTGTGATTGCTGGAATTAGCTCTAATTTAGTTTTTGGTGTTTCATGTCCCAAGTTGTAAACGTTCAAAATCTCCCATCTATAGCTTTTCTTTTCCACAAGTTCTCACCCCAGTCAGCATCCTAGAGCTACCCTCCTACTCTCAGAACCCCCTGCCCTTTTTTCCACCTGATTTCATTTGGGAAGTCTTGTTACCCATCCCAGAAGGTACCTCAAGTGCAACTCAAGAATGTGTTCTGGGTGGAGAACTGAAGCACCTCTAGGGAAGCACGGAAGCCACATTAGGTGAACCCACCACTAGCAGCAACAAGATGCACTAGCCATCCACTGAGGAAGCCTCCACCCCCACCCCCTCGGAGGCTCCCATCCTGACTGGGGTGACTTTGGATTCTTGAGTTGGTTTCTGCAGAATAGAGGCTAACCGGGTTTCCCACCTACTGTACTGCAAAGAAGCACGCTGCATTGCTGGGCATGTCCCCAAGTCCAGCCTGCGGCCCCATCAAAACCTCTGTGTGCTTCCAGCTAACCGGGGGCTCCGGTTCTCCTGAATGCCTAACGCGGGCTTGCCTGTGACAGCCTGGAAACGAGACCACACCTCGGTCCAGCAAAAGGCCGCTGGCAGCTACACCGCGCGCGGTCTGGTTCCCGAAGCTCTCTGCCACCCAGCGCTGTGCAAAGGAGAGCTCGGCTTCCCCGGGGAAGAAAAGCGGCTCTCCAAGGGGCTCTTTTCTAGCTGGAAGCTAAACACACGGCCGAGGCCAGTATCCTCCCCGGCCGAAGCTGAGCCTGCCCAGCTAGGTGACTCCTCAAGCCCCCTGCACGCCTTGCTTACCTGCTTCACCCCCTCCCAATCCCCGCGTCCCCTCCTCAAACAGCTGACCTCCAGCGCACCCCAACACCGTTTGTGCCAGTGGCGGGCTACGGCCCCCACACCTCAGTTCCAGTCTCTCTGACACCTCCAGCGCGGCGCCCGCCTCGGCCCCAGCCCGCGGGGGAGGCTCTGCGCGCCAATTGAGTCTAGCGCTTCTTGGCAAGTTGGCAGCAAAGCCACCGCCTTCGGGGTCTCAGTCTTCCCTGGTTCCCGACGGCTCCCCCCACCACCGCGCGCGTATAGGGAGGGGTCCGTAAGGCTGGAGAAACTTTCTCCGCCCGATGCTGTGGGGGCTGTGGGAGCGAGTTACTCACGCCCAGGGCAGCGCTGGGAGCCATCCTCGTGCTCGCTCAGCCCCGCCGCCTGGGGGCGTCAGAGCGCGGGCGCTCACCGCCTCCTCTGCTGCCGTCTGCAGCTCCCGGTCCCGGTCCCGGGCTGGCCTCGAGCCTCCCGCCCCGACGCCGCGCTCTCGCTTTATACAACTCCACTCGAGCGCGCCCGGGCTTATGTAAAGGCTGGCGGAGGCCCGCAGCCAATGGCGTGGCTGCTGGAGCCGGGGGCCCAGGGTTGGGGGGCGCCCGGGCGGCCAATCGCGGCCCAGGGAGCTCGGGGAGCCGGATGGGGGAAGGGGCGCCTCCCCGCGCTGATTTAGGAGTCGGGATTGCGGTGGCAGCAGCCAGCAGAGCTGCTGGTCCCGCGCGGCGCGCCGCGGCTGGCGCGGGGGTGGGCGGCGGGGGCGGGTGCCCCCCTGCGCCCCGCCGCTGCGTCGCGTAACCTTCAGGAGGCAGCCGGGCCTGGCGCGAGGAAAGAGGGCACCTAGCGGGGCGCTGGGGGCCTGGGTCGGTGGGAAGCACAAGTCTCACTGCTGGGAGCTCCAGGAAGGAAAGCAAAGGGGGTTAGGAGCGCGGCGCGCCCCAGGACCCCGCAGACACCCCGCGTGCAGGGCGGAGGGTGGCGGCGGGAGCGGTGGTGGCCCCCTCCCCACAAGATAGGGATCTGGCGTCGCCGGGCGGGCCGGAGCGGCCGCAGAGCCGCGCTGATGGCGAGATTTCGCGCTGCGGAGCGAGCGCCGAGCCGATCTTTATCCAGCCTGGGGACGTGTCCGCGCGCCTCGGCGCCTCCCGGGGACTACTCAGTATGGGGAGCAGAGCTTCGCAAGGCCCCAGCGGGCGGCGCGGGGGGGTGGGGGACGAGCACGGCTTCGTGATCGGGCGCGGTGGCCAGGACGGCTTCGGGCAGCGTCTGCTCCCCCCTCTTCCCACGCCACCCGAGTCCCCACCCCACCCAGTCTCCTTGTAGTGCTTGGGCTGGGCCTGGCCCACCAGCTCTAGCCCCTTACTGCTTTGCCCTTGGGTGCTGCTAAGCCCTCCTCGCTCCATTCCCTTCGCAGTGGGTGGGGTGGCTTTTGCGTCTCTGGAACAGGGGCCTGGGGTGGGGTGGGGAACTCAGCTCGGGGGAAAAAATGCGCTTGTTCAGCAGCGCCCAAAATACTCATGTGGGGCAGAGACTGGCCTAGGTCGATAACACTCTGAAAGCAAAGTCTCTTATTTTGTACATAAAATAGAACCTTGCATGTAGTGGGCACTCACTAATATTGAATGAATTTCGAGCTTCCTTAACTTGGGGTTTCAAAAAGCTGGGAGCAGTGAGCTTTGGAAGAGAAAGATCTCCGAATATGCTGTCAGATGAGGAAGGAGCTAGGGCTATTTTCCCAACTACTGAGACATTTGTGATCATAATCCACCAGACTGGCTTCTGGTCATTTGACTCTTAAAATGACAGCAGAGTGATCTTTTATGGAGGGTCCTACCAGCCAGCCCCTGGATGGATCCTGGTATCCCCAGATATTGGACAGAATTACTGTACTTTGAGCCCTTTCAGGTCTCTGTGATCTTCCTCTGAAAAGTAGTAGTTCTTAACTCTGATCTCTCTGAGAATCTGGCGAAAATTATATTCACACACACACACACTCTCTCTCTCTCTCTCTCTCTCTCTCTCTCTCTCTCTCTCCTTGAGTATAATTAAGTGGCATTGCCCAATTGTCCCTCGTTTGTCTAGGAGTCTAAGACAATGGTTTATTACCACCCTCCTTCTGGGAGAATCAGAGACCCTTTTGTATCTTTTAGGAAGTCAGTAAATGTTGTGGATCTATTTCTCAGGCAAAACACTACTCACATACTCATGCATGCATGCAATGGGTGGGGTGTGGGTCATGGATCATAAGAACTTAATCTGGAGCTCTAGATTAAGACCTTTCACCTAGCAGCAAGTAGACTTTACCTCCAAGGTCACAGTTTTATCCCTAGCTCTCTTCATAATGAGAGCATTTAGCTGGCATCCTGCAGGGTCATGCCACCACCCTGTTCCGAGGGCATCTACATTATGTGGCCCCAGCCTGGAATCCAAGAGACTGTCTCCACAGTGGTCCTCTGCACCTCAGTTCTTGAGCTTTCTTAGTGTGGAAGTAAGTTGTAGGTTGTAAATTCTGTCTGATTCATGAGTATTCCTTAGCCAGAAATTCCAGCTTGAGGAGACAGCAAGTGACTGGTAATTAACCAGTTTCACTCAGTCCCAAGCATTGGAGCACACTTTTCTTGATTTTGTTCTCACCTTTCTCTCTGCCTAGGAAGCTGTGAGCAGCAGCTCCAGCTGTGGAGCTCACCTCACCTAAACTTGACAGATTTAGTAACCACTGTGGTAATTATCAGCATTGGGCATCCAGATGTGAGTAGGCGCTCTGCTCCCAACAGCTCTGTAATACTCTCACACTTGTCTGCAGCTAGCTAGGTAAGGGGACAACAGACCAGAGGTGCCAGAAAAGGGCAAAAAACTAGGAAGTGACAGACATTCTATCCAGGAAGTTGTTCAGAAAATGCAGTCTGCTTTCAGCACTTGAACTTATGAGAATGGAGCCCAAAAAACTGGACAGTTCTGATCTTATAATTCCTAATTCCGCTAAGTCTTCCATGTTCATTATGAAACCCTTGAAGCCAGGGGCATTTTAGAATTCAGAAAGGGCCCAGACATATTGCACCATCCCATGAAGTCTGGAGCAGCAAATCTAAATCGGATGCATTCACATTCCTGCAATGAAATGTAGGAATTTTTATACTAAGTAGATTTGGGGGTAAAATGGCTTCACATCAATTTAGATAATGTCACCAGATGAGTTTTGGCACCAAACTTGGAAAAACAAAGACCCAAAACAACAAAGACCCAGAATCTTTTAATGTTAAGATTTGCAAATAAGAGATTGTGGAATGGTATTTTAAGCTTGACTGTCCCAAAAGAAATGAATGTTTTATGAGGATATGGAGAAGCAGCAATAGTGAAAATGAGAAACCATAAACTGTAAAGACGGAAAAGTTTAGGTAGGAGGAAGTAACCCTTCCTTAAACAAAGCTGCGTCATAGTATAGTCCCTTCTGCAGGAGGACATTCAGATACAATGGGGTCAGTGTAGCCTGTAAAGAGCTGATATATGGAATGGCCTTTTGAGGCGGTGCAAGTAGAGGAAATGGTGGACAGAAGCTCCTTTAGAGAAGTGTCAAGCCCTTAGGCATGGTGTGTTCCAGGTTCCATAGAGGGATATGGTAGATACAGGAAGGAGTCTTCCAGATGGCCAGAGTTAGCTTAGCACAGCTTGAGTTGGGAGCTAGAGGCAAACTCTTACAGGCAGCATGCAGACAGGAGGAGGAGTGCTAGAAAAAGGGTATTATGGAACTTTAGAAGCAGCTGGTTAGAAAGTTCAGTGCTCCTCAGGGCTGGGGGAAACCTGGGGAGGAGATGCAGGCAAATGTCTGTTCATCGAGTCAGTCTATGGCAAGATGGCTTGGGGTCTGAGTGCTGGCCTCCTGTGGGTATGCTTTGGATTTCCCCATACTATCGTAGGGGTGGCCCTGCAATTCCAAGGCTGGCTAAGAGAGGACACAGGGAGAGAGAGATGAAAAGGCAAATCCCTGGAAGGCCCATTACTGCACAGCTCTCACTCCCTGCCTGGGATGCTCAGCCAACAGTGTCCCCCATGATAAGGGGCTCCCTGGAACTCAAGATCAGCGGCATAGAAGCGCTTGAGATCTTAGGTTGATCTTGTTGCTGACCTTGTTCTTTCCCTGCCTTTGTTCCTAGGTCCTAGCAGCTAAGACTCTTACCCTTTTCTGTTAACAGAGCTCTGTCTGGCTCTCGTAGCTCCAGTAAGTGGGTCTCCACCTCCTCACTTCCTGGTGACACAAGTCCTTGGAATCCAGAATTCTTTAGTTTCCTCCCATGGCTGAGTCTTTTCTGCCAGCCGCTCCACATTCCTGATATCCACTGACTTCCTGGCCTCTGCCACCTATCTCCTGCCAGCTTCTTCTGACAGCCCCCAACTTGGCCTTACTTTCTTCCCTGCCACTTGCCAGGACCTCCTTGTCCCTCCAGATCCTGGGTCTACCTCAGAGGGCAGGTCTTGCTCCAGGTTCTCTCTGACCTGGCAGCTGCAACTGCCAGCCTAGCCAGATTCTTAACAGATGCAGGATCTCATGATCCTGATATAAAGAGGAAAACAAAACAAACAAACAAAAACAAAGAGAAAGAAAGGAAGAAAGAAATTAAAGAAAGAAAGAAAGAAAAAGAAAAGAAAGAAAGGAAGGAAGGAAGGAAGGAAGGAAGGAAGGAAGGAAGGAAGGAAAATCCTTCTAGCAGTTGGGTACTGGTATCAGACATTAACTGAAAATGCTAGGAAGACTTTGCCAGGGGCGCCTTGGCAGCTTCCACCCTGAGGGAAGAGAGGAATGAGGGAAAGCGGGAGTACAGAGGAAGACAAAGGAAGGAGAAGAATCAGGAGAGAGAAAGGGAGGAGGGAATGTGAGGAATGGAAAGAAAATGTAATTTTTTTTCAGTGTCTAAATTAAACATGACTATCTTGTCAGCAACAAAGAGCCAAACATTGACATGAAATAATTTGGGAAAGGGGGTTCAGTGTGTGTGGAAGGGGGAGCGAAAGGGAGGGAAGAATGAGAGGAAAGAGGGAGAGAAAGAAGACACAGGAAAAGGAGAGAGGAAAAAGACAGAAATGGGTTCTCTAGGAAGGGTAAATAAGTACAGGTGACCAAAACTAGTGGCATTTCAGGAAAGGAGCCATGGGAAAGGGACTTTACTTCTGATTGCTCCATTCTGATGGTTTGTTGGATGTCTTCTTCCCCCATATCTGTACCTCTTGATTCTCTTCTGATTTGGTTTGAAACTCTGCCTTGCTCTGACACCAAACTCCATTAAAGCTCCTCTGTCTTGCTAGATGCAAGGTAAAATGAGAATAAAACCACACTCCCTGGCTTTGATAGAGCATTCCTGAGATGATGTGTGCATGGTTCGCGCGCAGCAGAGCTCCTCCTTCACACCGGGTTCCACCAGCATTCCTAGTTCTTCCCTTCTCTCCTCCAGCCTCTGTGGCCAGCTGTGGCCTCCTCTTTCCTTCCCATGACGTACCACTCACTTTCATTCCT